ACTCAGAAGTATTCGCTACCAGGCAACCCACAGCCACCAAACATTCCTAAGATCCAGAGATGGCAACAGAAACCAAGGAATGGAGCAGCCAGCAAACAAAGACGAGACATGACATCAACACCCAGAATCACAATCATCCCAACCAGGATGCCTAGACACTAGCATTTAAACAACCAGGAGACTATATTTTCACCGGAACTCAGCAACCCTGCTACAGCAGGCCCTGAGAAATGCAGTGTAGCTGAAGCACAAGACAAGGAGCTATTCAAAACAGCTATTATGAATGTGCTCATGGACCTTAAGGAAGATATGAATAAATCCCTTAACAAAGCCTGTGAAACCCTAACAGTGAAATGAATGATGAAAATAGTTCAAGACATCAAAGTTAGAAATAAAATCACTACAGAAAGCCCAAACTGAAGTAAAACTGGAAATGAAAAATTTAGAAGTTCAACGAAAACATCAGAGGCAAGCCTCACCAACAGAGTGCAAAAGATGAAAGAGAGAATCTCAGACATTGAAGACAGAAGAAAAAAATACCTCGGTCAAAGAAAATGTTAAATCTTAAAAGTCTAGTCCCAAAACATCTAGGAAATCTGGCACATTATGAAAAGATGAAATATAAGAATAATAGGCATATAGGAAAGAGAATAAACCCAGGTCAAAGGCACAAAAGATGACATAGAGTAGAATTTCTCTAACCTAAAGAGGTTCCTATCAAGAAGCACACAGAACAACAAATAGACTGGACCAGAAAAGAAATATTTTATGACAAAGAATACTATACACTAAATGTATAGAACAAAGAAAGACTATTAAAAGATGCAAGGGAAAAAAGAAGAACTACCATATAAAGGCTGACCTATGAGAAAAGGTCAAGACATCAAAATTAGAAATAAAATCACTAAAGAAAGCCCAAACTGAAGTAAAACTGGAAATGAAAAATTCAGGAGTTCAACAAAAACATGGTCTCATTGTTCCAACTCTGCACATCCACAAAATGAAGCTCAGCACACAGGACGGTGGGTCCTAACTTGAAACCATCTTCTCTTTTCATGATCACTCAACTTAAACTAATAGAGTCCATTTCTCCTCCAAAATTTTATGCCAGCACATAACTTTCAGCATCACTGTCTTCCTAGATACTACCCAGAATAACAGTTATCTCTGTTTACATCATTCAATAGCTTTCCTATTCCAAAATTCCAAAGCTTTCAACATTCCTCCAAAAGAAAATAACAGGGTCAGGCTCATTATAACTATACCCCACTCCTGTTACCATTTTTTAATTAGTTTTCTGTTACTAAGGTAAACTATCATGACCAAAGCAACTTAAGGAATGAAATGTTTATTTCATGTTCATGTTTCTAGAGGAATAGAATCCACCAGACAGCAAAAGCACAGCATGGTTTAGGAGAAGGATGCTGGCTGGGTTTCCTTACTCACATATTAAATTAGTTATAATAAAAACATCTCAGTCTATGTTGACCAAGGTTTTCTGTCCCGCCCGGTCCGGGCAGTCGTTAAATCCCAAAGAAATCACACAGAGGTCTACATTAATTATGAACTGATTATGAGTGAGTACATCCCATGTTCCTCTTTTGGGGACTGGGTTACCTCACTCAGGATAGTGTTTTCTATTTCCATCCATTTGCATGCAAAATTCGCAAAGTCATAGTTTTTTACCGCTGAATAGTACTCTAATATGTATATATTCCACACTTTCTTCATCCATTCTTCCATTGAAGGGCATCTAGGCTGTTTCCAGGTTCTGGCTATTACAAATAATGCTGCTATGAACATAATTGAACAAATGCTTTTGTCATATGATAGGACATCTCTTGGGTATATTCCCAAGAGTGGTATTACTGGATCTTGGGGTAGGTTGATCCCGAATTTCCCGAGAAATCGCCACACTCATTTCCAAAGTGGTTGCACAAGTTTGCATTCCCACCAGCAATGGATGAGTGTGCCCCTTCCTCCACAGCCTCTCCAGCAAAGGCTATCATTGGTGTTTTTGATTTTAGCCATTCTGACAGGTGTAAGATGGTATCTCAAAGTTGTTTTCAAAACGACAGGGAAGGATACTTCATACTCTTAATAAATGAAATACCCAAGGTATTTCAAGGGAGAACTTCAAGCAGGTCTTGAAGGCTGGGGGAACAGCGGACTAGGAAGCACTGAGGAGACCTGGGTGTTTTAGAACAGGGAGACACTCACTGACTGCTGCAGAGAGGTGAGGCTGGGGTCCAGGAAACCTGCTCCGGAAATGCAGGTTCGGCAATGGCATGGAGGCCAAGTGAGCATGGTCTGTGTTTTGTCTCCTCCCTTCCGGAGTAGAAAAAGGCAGGCTGCCCACTTTCCTTCATGAACCTTCACCCAGCTCCCTCGAATATTCTGAGTGTCCTTTTTAAATATCTACAAGCTGTTTCAGGAGTCTGTGAAGCAACATGGCTGTTTAGTTGGTTGGTTTGGGTTTTAGTTTTTTTGTTGTTGTTGTGGTGGTGGTGGTGGTGATGGTTTTTTTTTAATTTGTTAGTTTGTTTGTTTTTGTTTTATTTTGTTTTTTGCTGTTGCTTTTATTTTTGTGGTGGTTCTGGGGATTGAACCTACGACCTTGGTATGCCAGGCTGAGGTTCCATAACTGGAACCCTACATACTCAACTGACTTTAAAACATAGTTAACATGTTTCTTTTTTGCCCATTTTAGTAAGCATAATACTATACCCATTAACTTTCCTTATAAGGCAGAACTAGAAATGCTTCTATTTCAAAGTGGCCTTTGCACCTGTTTCCAAACAAGAAAGTCCTTCACACCTTTAAGGAATGGGTGGAGAACCAGAGGGAAAACAAGGGGCTATGGGTACCCTAGCATCACCCCCCGCCATCCTCCCACAAGCCCTTCCATGCCTGGGGACTCAACAAGATTTCTTAGGACCTTGCTCACTGGGCCCTCACCCATCTCCACTGCTTCAGATGCCTGAGCTGCAAGTACGGAGACATAACTCCAGCCCTAGAACTGTCAAAGGGCACGGAAAGTGGCAAAAGGAACTGGCAGAGAGAGTTGGTGCTCAAGGCCACTCACACTGGCTTCAAAACTGTCCACTATTGGGTGAGATCCAGACAAGGCTTTCCCCTCGCGGTCAGGGATATATACATCCCACAGCTACTCAGAGGTGGAACTCCGCTGCTCTCTCAACCAAAGGTGAATGAGATAGGCTGGAGTCTAAAAAGGGGGAGCGAGAGTGAAGGACTCTCAAAAGCGCCTGGTAGGAGAAGTCTTATGTTCTCCATAGGGAAAAAGAAAGCTCTTCCTAAGCCAAACATAGTGAGAACAGCTTCTCACTCATGGAAATAACACCTAGAAACTTGTTGTCTTAGACTTACCTTGTTCCTAAGGTCCTTTGACCTTTTGTGGATCATGGCCAGAAACTCAGTTTAGAAGCATATTCTGTCTTTGCCACTGTCAAGCAAATGAACTTGGCAAGGCCTTTATCTGGCTTGCCTGAGAGTCCAAGTTGTTTAACACAGAGTCTCACGTATCCCAGGTTGGCCTTGAACTCCCTTGTAGTTGAAGACAATCATACTTCTAATCCTTCCCCCTCTACACACCCAGTGTGGGCATTACAGGTGTATACTACCAATACAGATTCATTTGGTACTGGTGATGGAAACCAGGGCCTGCTGCATTCTGGGAAAGTATCCTACTAACTAAACCACACCCACAGCCTATGAGATTCCATAACTTGATTAGTAAAATCAACACATCTTTCATGGGGTAGGATAATTCAGGGTGACACAGAGTGTCCGGCAGCCGGTAAATAAACGCTTGTTGGCATGAAGAACACTAGGAAAGGCAATGTCAACTGCCTTGGGTTCTCCCCACACCCACATAGGGCATGATCTGGTACATGCCCTAAAATTGTCCCACTTAAGCAATAATCTCCCTACTTTCTATGCCCAGGTAAATTGAAATAGTTTTGGTATAGACAGCCTCTACGGCTACTAATAAACTTGAGTTAGCCTTTGAGACTTTGTTCCCGTTAAAGCACAGTGATTCTGGGTGCCTGGGGGCTGGTGGGAGCAAGAGCTGTGAATGAATTAGGTAACGCTGCCCTCTCTAGGAAATTACCTGCTACAATGATCTCTTCTTCGAATTTTCTGGCACAGCGTGTTATCCCAAAAGATGACAAGTACTTTAGAAATGGAGGAAACGATTTATTTATTGTCATCCTCGCGCCTGGGCGGGCACACGCAGCCCCTACCACGGTAGGCCTGGGGAGGTCAGAGAACAAGCAGCAGCTGAGTGATGGTTCACTCCTTGCACTGTGCATTCAGGGGATCCGACTCAGGCTGTCAGGCTTGTGGACGGCGCTGAGCTGTCTTGCTGGCCATGTTTGTCTTACTCATCCATGAGAGCAGCTGCGTAACTTCAAGACCTCTCAAGACGGCTAGCAGTTTCGACCACTAACTTAGTTTGATCTGTACTTGGTCCCACCGTGTAGCTAATGAAACAAGCCAGATGATTTTTGCTCTGGTGTAGATGGTAGTATCCAGGCACAGGTGACGGTAAAGATGGAAAGGCCCTCATGGAAAGATGAACCACCTTAAGTATGGATTTTTATTGAACAATGGATGGGTGGATTGATGGCTCCAAGGAGGTCTTGGGTGTGCTAGTCAAGTGGTCTATCACTGAGCCACTCGCGTGAGTACCTGTCATAACCTAGTCTCCAGCATTGTTTCTATTTGATGAGTTTCCCTTAAATTATTTCCTTGTACATTTCCTTTTAAATAATTCTTATAACAAATAATAAGTGTGATAGTTTTTATTGAACATGCCCTTAGGCCGTCAGAAAACTTAGATGTCTCGGAAATTTGTAGTTTCAAAATTAAGATATTTATGTGAGACACAAAGATCTTCATATATATTTATATATATATATATATATATATATATATATATATATATATATATATAAAACCAAAGAATTAAAAGTTATTTACTCAGTGATTTGCTGTTTCTCAACCAAAGGCGCCTCAGTGGTCGTCTCATCAACCATGGGCTCCTCATTTCTTTCCTTCACAGGGACATTCTCACTGATGGGCTGCTCACCCAGCTCCTGGGGAGGAAGGAAGGTTGGATCCTCGGGCGGAATTAAGTCTGACTCCTCGGGCAGAAGGAAGGCTGACTCCTCGGGCAGAAGGAAAGCTGTTTCTTCCTCGTTTAAGGGTGTTTGATCAGAATCTGCAGAATAATCCATATGTTTCAATTTTGGCTTTTTTGTGCTGGATTGTTTCAAGTCTGAAGTTGTGTTGGTCCAGTAGGTGCCGCTGTCGGCACTCCTGGAGTAAGATGTATCCGATACGCCTTCCGACGGGTGGAAGTAAGACAGAGTCGCCAGCTCCGGGTTGACAGAGTATTGACTGCCAAAGCTTTTGTCACTAGAAAGGGGAGCACACACATCAGGAGTCGTCTTTAGACACGCACACTTGCAACTCAAATTTGAGCAGTTAACTAGAGACGGATGCGGCCAAGGTATTAGCTAAGGAATGCAGAAAGTACAGCGTTTCTTCCATTGTAAAGTTGTATTGTACTCAGTCCTTGTGTAAACGAACCACGAATGCCTGGTGTATGCAGCTTGTCTCAAACTTCAATATTAGAATTTAAAAGCCAACACTAAAGGTTGATTTAATTAATAAAGGCTTAACAAGAAACATAAAATGAGCTGAATTAAGGAAATAAACATTTAGTATTACAGGTTTAATGTGTCGGAGAAGTAGCTCATCAAAGCACCATAGTCAAAGAATAAAATTAATGATAATGGTGAAGATTAAAAAGTAATTCTGTGGAGCTTTAATTTATGATACTGTCCAAAAAAGGTTGTAAAGTGTTCAAAGGGATATATATATATATATATATATATATATATATATATATGTGTGTGTGTGTGTGTGTGTGTGTGTGTGTGTGTGTGTGTGTGTGTCTGTGTGTGTGTGTAATTATTTATATAAATATAAATATTAATATAATAAATATATTTAATTCTTTTTCATTATTCTTTCATACAATACAACCATTATTATTCTTTTATACAATACATTCTTTCATACAATAATTATATATAATATATTCTATGTATGTGTATAATTATTTATATAAATATCAATATAATAAATATATTTAATTCTTTTTCTTTATTATTCTTTCATACAAAACATCCCAGTGCAGTCTTCCCCCACTCCACCCCACCCAGTTCTCCCCACCTCCCCTTTCCCTCAGATCCACTGTCCCTTTTCCCTTCAGAAAAGAACAGGTCTCCCAGGGACAGCAACCATGGCATAACACACTACAACAAATCTAGGTGTAAACCCTCCTATCAAGACTGGATGAAGCAACCCAGTAGAAGGAAGAGGATCCCAAGAGCGGGCAAAAGAGTCAGGGATGCCCATGTCTCACTGTTAGTAGTCATATTTTTGTAAGAAAAGAGAAATGACTATTTAAGACAAATATCTAGGCCTCAAGGTGTGAAAGTAGCAGATTTTATGTTTCTTTCAAGGTCTGAAGCAAGGCTATAAAAATTTAAAATGTTAAATCCCAAGCAAATGAGTTAATTTAGAAGAGAATAAATGGTGTTTGTACTCCAGGGTTATTTGGTAGGGATGTAGAGCCAGGAGGCATTGTCTGAAGTCTGTATGTCCTTCCTAATCAACTGTGAGTCTATTTATGACTATTTAAAATACTGGGGGTAAAAACAGTAAGACATTTCCTGAAATAGGGCCCATTTTTAGAATGCATAGAGGAAGTGGATTCGAGCTGAATGTCTTATACATTACTGAGGAGGATCCATATTCCTACCAACCCACTAAAGTTTGGAGGGAGAATACCATGACACCATGGACCAGTAAACTGCTAAGGCCAGGGGCTTACCTTAGTTTTCTCAATTTGTACAGCGTGACAAAACAAAATATCAAGAGGGGAATTAAGAGGATAAGGGTCATCAGTGAGATCCCCAGCATTAATTTGAACTTGGCCTCCTCTATCTCAGACAGCTTGTCTTTGCTGGTAGTGTTCAAATCAGAGCCTGGGAGGAGAGAAAGAAAACGCAATGGAAAATTGAGCGTTATGCATGTTTTCCTTGAGGAATAAGGATGACAAAATCTGTCTGCAGCAATCTCAGCTCACCTTTCCTACACCAGACAATGGCAAAGAGAAGGCCACTCTATTTCCATCCACATACACAGATTTTTTTTCTCTAGTCCTCATAGCAATCTTGGAGTAACTGTGCTTAATTTCATTTTATACACTCCCAAAAGTTTGCAAATCTTCTACTAATAAGAATATGGTTTTAAGCCTGACCTACCCATGATAAAATTTTTATGTCCCAGCCTTTCTTCTTGGCTTTGCTAGAAATCTTTCCAAGTATCATATTGTCTCTGAAAAGGTTATTGGAACAATTTGCAAGGCACTGGTTCTTCAGAAAGGAAAGGTGGTTCATGCCCTACTGTTGGGCACACACTGGTTATTACTTTAAACTAGAAGTCTGTAGTTTTGGTGGTTTTCTTTATAAAGGCTTCAGAGGTAAGATTGCCATTTTGTTACTGAGACCATTAAACTTAGTGTGCCTGATGTTACAAAAAGAAGTAGAAATTCTTTAAAAAGAATAGACTCTTTAGATTCCTGAAATGAATTAAATCACAAAATCATGTCTGGCTCCAGAGGCATTAATAATCTAATAAAAACTAATTGAAAGGTTTCTTTTTTTTTAAATTTATTTATTTATTATGTATACAATATTCTGTCTTTGTGTATGCCTGCAGACCAGAAGAGGGCACCAGACCCCATTGCAGATGGTTGTGAGCCACCATGTGGTTGCTGGGAATTGAACTCAGGACCTTTGGAAGAGCAGGCAAAGCTCTTAACCTCTGAGCCATCTCTCCAGCCCCCTGAAATGTTTCTTTAATGTCAGATTTTGGGTATTCATGAGAATACATCTGGCTTAAAATATATTTAATATTGAACTTCCTTTCTCACAGTTCTCCCGGACCCACTCAGTGTTCCAAGGGTCTTCATTACTTTCTAGGTAATATTTAGGTAATAATCAATGACAGGTATAGATTCCCATGTTAATGTTCTCTGACTTTTAAATATTCTAATTATTGTGATTGGGATATAGCCAAGCAGAGCTCTTGTTAGCATGTTGAAAGGTCTAATACCAACAAAGAGATTTCAAACCAAGTGTAATGAAATGTGTAGTTATCAATGAATGTTATATGACTTTGAGGCCCATTTTGGAATAATCAAGTAGATAATATTCAAATGAACTGCCCTCCTAAAGTCTTTTTTTCCCCATGAGGTAGGATCTAACTTTATAGCTCTGGTCATCCTGAAACTCAGCTCCCAAAAGTCTTTATAAGTAGGTATGCTCTTGGAGTTAACTCATAGATTTTCTAGCTACTGTTGTATCTCCTAGAAATCAAGCCACATCCCCTGTCTGGACTTCCTCATGGCTGCCTAGGTCTCTCCTAACAAAGGACTGTAACAATCATTTCCTACACTGTGAATATGTATGACTCTTATTGGTTAATAAAAAGCTGACAGACTATAGCTAGGCAGGAAGTATAGGTGGAACAGCAGACACAGAGGACTTTGGGAAGAAGAGCAGAGTTTGAAGAGATGCCAGTTAGCCTCCCAGGAAGCAAAACATGATAGAGGACAGGTAAAGACACAAGCCATGTGGCAATACATGGATTAATAGAAATGGGTTAATTTAAATGTAAGAGTTAGTAATAAGCCTGAGCTATCAGCCGAGCATTTATAATTTGTATTATGCCTCTGTGTGGGTTATTTGGGATGGGCTGATCAAGACAGGAAACATCCAAAGGATATTTGAAGTTTGCCTCAGTCTCCCTTTTCTACAGATCCCTTACTCTTCCTAACACAGCACAAAGTCAAAGAAGTCAAGGTCAGAACCAGAGAAGCCTTTACAATATCTAACCAATGGAAGTTACAGAAAGTTAACTGCAGGTTTGGGGTGGCTTTTGCTTTATGCCCCAATTTCTTCATAAAATAGAGTTGGTGGGAGAACTGACACGTGGCTAAAACAACTAGATTACCCAATATATAGTGTGTCCTCAATAAATGGTAGAAAACCAGTCAGCTCCAAGTTCAATCATTTAAATGCCAAGTAGAGAGAAGACAACATATTTTTAAGGTGACTTGCTATTTGTCATCCCTGCATATAAAAGACTTTCCATTTTCTTCAAGCAGCTCAAGGCAAGAGCTACATTTGTCAGATAATTCATTACAGAACTGAGCATATGGATGCCAGATATGCCACCAAATATATCTATTTTCCAATTATTTATTTGTAGGACAAGGGGTTTGAGAAACATTTGTTAGGGACTGCAGACCCTCAGACCCTGAACTTTCTATGACCTCTTGCCTGGTGGAGTAAACAACTTGTTTTCTTATGCTTGCAGCTGCTCTGAGCACCAAACCCTCATGAGTTCCTGATAAAAAAGAAGTGCCTTCTGATGGGCTGGCAGTAGAAAGTCCTGAGAGCTAGGGCATGGCCACTATTCAAGGAGAGCACTATACAGGCTGTCCTGGAACACAATAAAAGAGGCATTCTTGCTTCAAGAGTGACCCATGTCTCTGTGTATTCTTTAATCCCAAGACCCTTGCCTGATCACAGTTCCAGGTGGTGCAGACATCACAAAATTTAAAACATTGCCTTTTAATACAACTTTCATTCAAAGTAGGAGTTTGGTTCTTCATGCTTAAGTCAGGAGGCTCACAGCCACCCGTAACTTCAGTTCCAGGGGACCTGACACCCTCTTCTGGTCTCCACAAGCACCTGCACACATGTGGTACACACACATACACACACACACATACACACACACACACTAAATCTTAACATAAAAAATGAATGGGATAAGGACACTCTGTACTTTTGTTATTGTTTCTTTACATTTAAAACTTTAAAGTAAAGCCCATTTTTAAAAGACTATATATTGTATGTATTATTCACTTACCTATCTTAATCTGTTTCAACATTTTAAGTCAGAAGACAAAGAGATGATAATAGTCATTGGTAAAGGGGCAACAAGAATACTTGAGAAGCATAATTTGTCTAATGGAGTCAATGTCCCTTTGATGTGGCATTAACTATCTCCAGTCTCCCACATACACTCACTACCCTTTGCTATGAGAAATTGTTTCACAATGCAACCACTAAAGTTCAGGTGATATTTATGTATTTGTTAATTGAAGTACTTTGTTCTTACTTGGAATTGCTTGATAGAGTTGATCTTTATCATCCATGTTCACGGGGGTTTCATTTATAACTGTTAAAGACAATATGTTGATGTTATAAGTAACATTCACTCACTATTAAATTTTTTGCAAATGTGTAAAAGTGTGTGTATAATATTTGAAGGCTGTTATTATTCATTGTAGTATTGTTTTGTAAAGGGAACATCTCTATAACTTACGTTCAAAAGAGCTTATCTAATACACTCCTATTTCCTGTAAGGTTCATCATAGTATTTAGTATATATTAAATACTTAGTGCTTATTTAACATAGTATTTATTAACAAACCATTTAATACTATACTTAGGGGCCATTTCAAGGTATGATTGTCAGGCACCTGTCAGGCAACTAAAAATATTTGAAACTGTGCCAATATCAACAAATGATCTTGCAGGTTCTACAAATATTGATTTTAGGTTAACAGAAACCTTAGTCTTGAGTAGATAATATTTATTGTAAATACACAATATATAAATAATAATTGAGTGAATATGATGAATATTTCATTTTATAATGTACATATATGACACCTACATTCCATAATGTCCTTCTGTATCTGTGCAGAATACATGCATGCATAGGTGGATCTTTGTATTGTATTGTGCATGTGTGTTGTGTAGTCATGCTACACACATCATCTTCATGCACAAATATACATTGATACTTTACACTTTTATGTGCATTGCTTAGATGTGCGTGTCTGTGTGTTTTTGCCCATGCTGTTCCAAACATGGAGGGACCACAATGGGTAAACGCCTTGCTAAAGATGCTGCATCATGCACTTAGGTGAATGGTTTTTGATCTGGGCTCATCTGTTTCTGGAGTGAAAGCTCTAAAATAGGAATGTCAAGATAGTTACAATACAAGGACAAGAAAACCAACGTCATTATAACAGCAAGTGTCCTCTCTGATTTTAAGATTCGCTCTAGACTCTAATATTTGTAGGAGGATATACGTCTGGGTGCAGAAGAATCAGAACTGCAACTTGATCATTTCTCTGCATATTACAGTTGCTATTGCAAGGGGCAGTAAACATGAACTTATTAATTATTGCTAGGAATATTTAGGACGGTCTTGTGTTTCTATATAAAATGTTAGAAAAATAACATCAATATAAATGTTAGAAACATTTCCCCAGCCACCTAACTGCATGGATTTACCTTGAGCTAGCATTGTCCAAAATGCAGGCACATTGGGGGTTGATGCTGTTTAAAGAGATAACAAGGGTAATGAGTGAGAATCTATTGTCTACAAATACGTACTACCTCAAAAACCGTAGGAGAATTATCCTGGGTTGTCATAGCTTCACAAATACTTTATAAGGAACAGTGGTCTGATCTTGGGAAGAAAATAAAATTGTGATTATTAAGTTTGTAGCCTCCCATTCCCAAGACCCTCCCTCAAATAATCTTAGGAAACATTAATTGTCGTGACCAGAGATACATTTATTCCTTAATCAAGTAGAAAATTTTACATTTGTCATCAAAAATGTTAAAACATACCCCATATATACCATATAATTATCCTAGTTAGATATAAGAATTTATAATTGTATTATATATATAAAACACAAATATATGTAGTCCCATGGTTTGTCAGGGACCTCTGAAAAGGGACTCTTACATATTTGCCACTTAAAAGACTCCAGGATGACCCTAAATGAGAGTAGTATGGATTCTTTAGGAATGCTAGCCACTTATGTCATGTTCAGAGCAGTGAAAGCTAATTGCATAAGTCATATAACAATATGTTCCATATATCAATACAGTGTAGTTGGTTTAATACTTTGTATATGTTTACGAGGGGGTTCATTAGGTTTTTCTTCTTCTTCTTTTTCTTCTTCTTCTTCACTGATGGATTTTTCTGACGATTTTCCCGTTGTCTTGATGAGTTTGTCTAGGAAAAGAGATAAAGCATTTTCAGCATATTAAAACACTGACCAAATACTGGGGTTTCCATGCTTTAAGACTAAAAATGGAACAAAGTCAAGGAGAGAACAAAGGAAGAGAATATCATTTTTATCAGAAATGAAGAGTTGGAAGGAAGACACCAGAAAATAGTGTTTTTGTGGTTACGGAGTATCTGAAATAGGACCAATATGTCTGTGCTCCATGTAAGAGAGATAAAGCATAGAACCCAGCCTTTTAGAGGCAATGGTGAGCTATTGGCTAAGCTAGCTGGCTTGGGCAGGCTCCCTACACAGGCCTTAGTATAGATTTCAGCTTATGGTGTGTCCATGTGGTCCTACCACTGAGTGCTTGGGCTGTATTAGTTAACAAATAGTAGCATAAGGTCCATATGGGACACCACCCCACCAAAGGGGGATTCCAAGGAGGGGCAGAATTAATCCACAGAGTCCACAAATCCGTTACAGGTATTTGTTACTAACAAAGAATAGAAAAGGGAATGTATTTCTGAAAGAAATATTCCGACAGAACTCAAAACAGGTGAATAATCCAAGCTACAAAGCAACCATGCATCCTAAGAACATCCAGGTGCCTCAGTTTATCCCCACTGTCCACGGAGCTGTAGTAACAACGCTCAAGCAATTTATTGTTAGTGAAAGCTATCCTGGGGCTCACTGTTTATTTGATAGGCTAGTTCTTCTGGAATGTTTCCACAAGGCCCATATGTAGAAAGCACGAAGTTTTTTCTACCCAACTTTGTTGACCATCCTCTAGTTATGGGGTTTTGGAATCTCTCGCTTGGGTACTATGGTCTTCACTAACCCATTGTGTAGGCAATTTGAGGTGTCTGGGAACATCCAGAGTCAGCGAACTGTAACTTGTCCCACACCACTCAAGACGTTTGCTCTACACAAGCAAGATACGCCTGGTGGTTTACCTAAGTTTGCCCTAAATGTGGGACTGCCATACGACTTGGAAATGCTCAAATGCTCCATCATTGTCAAGGAAATTTATTAGTAATTGATGAGTCTGCCCCAGTACTAAAATTGCCATAGCCAGAAAGAGTCACCTTTGTTGCTATTTCACACACTATATTCAAAGTATAAAAGAGAAAATAATCCCACAAATATGAGTCGACTAAAGATGAGTAGCAGCCTGGAATCCTAAATTCAGTTAATGTTTCTTTCCATGTAAACAGGGGAACAGGAGGTTTGGAAATGAGAGACCGTCTGCCTCTTCTGGAATGTTCACTGTGATGGTGGTCACGGGGCGTCACAGAAAATGGTGTGAAAGAAAACATAGGAAAAAACAAACCAGGAGATGCCATAATTCTGCTGGCTTCCAGAAGCACAAGATGGGCTCCAGAGAGGCACCCTGAGGCCTCACCCCTTTTCCTGGTGCTGTTCTGGGACCTTGTCCTAAGGTCTTTGCACGTGGATTAGCGACAGTGCATTCAGTACTTACAGTTCTTCAGCGCGAACTTCAGGTTCGTGGTGGTACTCACAGATATTTCAGAGTCTGTGCCATTCGAGTTTTGTGTGGTGAACACATCTACAAACAGAAAATCAGAAGTCTTTAGCAATCACCAATTGTCCATTTTATTTTTTTCTTCGTAGTGTATTTTTAAACTTTAAAAAGTATCCATTGACTAATGAAAAAATAATTTTTTAAAAAAAGAATGAGACTTTTTCAAAGAAAGTGGAGCAAGGGGCAAGCTGAAAATTCATAAGGAAAAAAGTCAAACTAGTTTTCTTATGATAAACAACTTTGAGAAACAATTATTGAGGACATTCATGGGACATATGTATATAAGATGTCAAAATCAATTTGTGAGGGAAAAATGTCACTAAATCTTAACCCTAGTACTTCAGAAAATGAGACAGGAGTAGAGATAGGTTTGCTGAGAATATAATTAAGACTGGAGGAGGGTGTGCTCCCAAATGGGTTTGACTAATGTTATTATACAAGAGGGAAGACTGCACACAGAAACAGGAAGGATATTACATGAAGAGGGGGAGGGCACAAACAGGCTTCCACAAGTGAAAGCAAACCCAATCCACCACAGCTGAGGGAAGCAGGAAAGGTTCTTGACCTTTGCTTTGGATGGAGCCCTGACTTGATTGGTTCTTCTGTGCTTTTAGACTTCCAGCCCCTAGAGCTATAGGAAAATAGTGTTCTATTGTTTTTATGCTCCTAATTTGTTTCAGAAGCTTTAAGAAATGGATCCACACCTCAAAATAAGTTTTGGCTAGTTACCATCAAATTAGATTAGTTTTTACTAAAGCGAGTGTATCACAGTGCCGTGATGGACCACAGTAGACAGAATTAGTAGCAAAGATAGTCTTATGCAATTTTGTAATGTCTCACGCGAAAAGTTGTAAGAAATAAGACTGTAATTTTACACACTGAAGTGTCTACAAAGTAAATTAGAGTTTCAAAACTGGGAAATAAAATGATGACGAGAGATTAAAAGACAGGACTAAGAAAAACCAAACCCGTGCAATCAGAGCTTTAAAAACTTACATTGTTTCACATCTTTAAAGTATTTTTCATTTTTCTCGTTAGCAGAAATGTCACCTTCATTTTCTTTTAGTTTGTGTATGACAGGATTAGATTCTGCATTTTTGTCATCTTCATGTCCAGGGTCATTGTTGCTCAGATTTTCATCATCTGAGTAATATTGTTCTTCATCTGACGGCGTATCGTCAAGGTCCTCTGATACAAAAGACAGGACACGCCATGGGACAAATGAGATTTAAAAGTTAAATTATAGTACACCTCCAACTTTCAATCCTCCTGCAAAAAAACGGCCATTTTCTGACTTTCTGTAATTGAGGATCAACCTTCTGATTGGCTAATTTGCTAATTTTAAAGTTTTGTGTGTGTGTGGTTTGTTTTTTTTTTACTTACGTCCTGCACTGAGCTGTAGATTGCTTATGTCTGGGAGAAAAACCTCAAATAAAAAGATAAACAATAAAAAATACATTGGGAAATAGATGTGATTGATCCAGCAATCTACTGTCTCCTCAGGGTTTCCTTCTCGTGGCCCAGGAGGCCCAAAGACTCAGTAGGACATTATGACATCACTGGGAAACAGAATGCCAGAGAAATGCCCAGAGCTTTGTGGTTCCATATTATGACCATTTCATTCTTGGCGTCAAGAAGGTTTTAGTTTAAAAAAAAAAAAACTTTTTTCTTTGAAGGGTAACAAATGTGTTTTTACAAAATAATTTTAGTTATTGGTCCATGAATTGTAATTCATCAGTCTTGTTGATAGTGACATAAAAACTTTAAGAACTTAGGGGTTGTTTCTAATGACATCATATGCTTCGGAGAGCTGCAATCTGCTAAAATCAAAGCAAAACAACAACAAATAAAATAAAATAAAAGCCTCATCAGGGAAAGCAAAACTCAAATCTTAATCCAAATACCCTATAAATTCTCATTCATAAACTATTTGACTACAATTCTTTAAGAAAAATTTTGTGAAACGTCTTTTTATTTTAAGAATTATTTTCATTATAAGATATGCTTGTTTTGTTTAATACATTTTTTTTCAACGCCATCCAACTTCTACTTCACATTTTAATGGAGAAAATTATCTAATACTTGACAGTTAAAAAGTTGCTCCAGCATGAATAGTCTTGTCATGGATCACTTATGTAAAAACAATGAATGAACAATAAAGACAGAGAACCGATTGATAGTTCTAACTATGAGGGATGCTCGTTTTAATTATTATTGATGATAACCCCTCCACATCAGATGATATCCATACTTACAACATAAACATCAGGAAAAACAGCATAATGCCGCAGGACTTTATGTTTGTCTTCAGTGAGGGGGGAGGTCGTAAGTGAAGTAAAACCTGTGGTCCTTCGCTGATGGTGCCTGGCGACATGGTAGAGTCTTCACCCGACATTGAGAAGGAACACCCAGTGGCACGGCCAGCACCCACACAGGACCTATGAAGGACCACCCAGAGGTATGATCAGCATTTGCGACCTGACTGACCCATGAAGATTATATTTCAAACATTTATTCCATTGAAGTCCAATACAGTGAAATGGCCTACAGAAAGCTTGCTCAATCAACTGGTTTAGAAAACACTTGCTATAAGGCCTTTCTTTAGATCAACAAACTCCAGCAAGCAACCCTTTTCAAATGTTGGGAAATGTCCCCCCCCCCCCCCGCAACAAACTAGTGTAATAAGAGCATTTGCATGCAGTCTAAGAACACTCAGCAAGAATGGAGATTAATAGCCAAGCAGTTGGTGGTGCACACCTTTAATCCTAGCACTTGGGAGGATCTCTGTGAGTTCAAGGCCATCCTTGTCTACAGAGCAAGTTCCAGGACAGGCTCCAAAACTACAGAGAAATCCTGTCTGGGAAAAAAATTAAAGAATAGAGATGAGTATGTTACTTTGTCAGGTTGGCTTTCTATTGGGTTTTTCAAAGCTTTTGTGTGCATGTTGTGTGCTTGCATCTGTGTGCACATGCATTGCAGGCATCCAGAGGTTAGCCTGATGTCATCCTCAGAAACACTGCATGCCCTTTCTCTCTCCTAGCTCTTACATCCTCTCACTCCTCAACCTCTCATTCTTTCTGCTCATCTGTCTTCTTCCGCCCTTGTCTCTCCCCTCCTCCTTTCTATTCTTTCTCTCACTTTCCTATGTCCCTCCCATCTCTATCTCTTTCCCCTCTCTTCCTCTCCTACCTTCCTTCTATCCCTTTTATCTCTCACTCTCCTTTCTTCTCTCTTCTGTATCTCTCCCCTCTATCTCCTCACCCTCTCTCCCTCATCTTTTCTCCTCACTCTCTCATTCTGTCTTCTCTCTCTATTCTTGCCTCTTTCCTGTCTGTCCCCTTTCTCCCTCTGCACTCCCCCTTCCCTTTCTCTGCTCTTTCTCCTCTTCCATTTCTTCCTCTTTTCCCCCTCTACTCTCTCCTTCTTTCTCTCTCCTCTCTCCCATCTCTTTCCTTTCTCTCTTCTATTTCCTCTTATTCCCCCTTTCTCCCATTTTATTCTCCTCTCTCTACCGTTACCCCCACTCCTTCTCTCGCTCCCGACTCTTTTCTCTCTTCCTTACATTCCACTTCCCCTTTCTCTGTCTCCAAACTCTCCTTCCTCTTCTCTCCCACTTTGCTCTCTGCCTTGTCTCCCTCTCTGTATCATCTCTTCCCTGTCTCTCCTCTCTATCTTTCCTTCTCACTCCTTCCTCATCACATTCTCATCTTTTTCTCTTTTCTCCTTCCCCTCTGTCTCCTTTGTCTCCACTCTCTTTCCCCATTTATCTTCACTCTCTACCTTTTTCTCTCTTCCCTCCCTCCTCCTCTTATGCATACCTCATCTCTCCCTGCCTTCTTCTCTGTAGTCCCCCTCCCTTTAATCCTCCCTCTTGCCTCTACTTTCTCTCCCTTATCTCACATCTTCTTCCTCTCCACTTTCCTCTCTAGCTCCTCACTCTCTCCCATCTCTCCCCTCATATTTTCTTTTCACTCTCTCATTATTGTTCCCTCTGTACTCTCTTCTCTTTCCCTCTCTCACACACTCTCTCCTCAATCCCCCATTTTCCTCCTCTCCTACTCCATTCTCCTGCCTCCCACCCCTCTTTCACCTCTCACTGTGTTCCCTATTACCTTTCTCTGCCCTTACCCTCAACCCTTCTCTCCTCATCTCTTATTTCAACTGTCTCTCACTTATATCGTATGCTTCCCTTTCTCTTCTCCTGTTTCTGTTTCCTTTCCTGTATCTCTCCTCTCTTTCTCCCCTCTTTCTCTCTCCTATATCACCCCTCTTGTTTCCCCTCTCTTGCTGCTATTCTATCTCCTCTCCCTCTCCTTTCTCTCTCTCTCTCTCTCTCTCTCTCTCTCTCTCTCTCTCTCTCTTTCTATCCCCTCTATCTAATGTGCATTGATAACATAGCAGAAGGATATACTTGTACAGATCTGCAAATACATGAGGTAGAACATCAGGTCACATTTTTTGAATAGTGTAGTTCCCTGGAATATTCAAGTACACAGTGTAAATAGAGATTATGGTACAACAACAATAATGACAAAGAAAGAGAGAGGGGAGAGAGAAGAGACGGGACAGGAGCATGAGGAAGGTCACAGAAGAGAGAAAGAAGAGAGATGGGACACAGAAAGGTGATGGTGAGAGGACAGTGATGTGGGAGAGGGGATAGAGAGAGGAGACGGGGACAGAGAGGTGTAAATAAATTTTTCTTTGGGCTGCCAGCTCATAAGAAATGACACAAAGACTTATTAATTATGAAAACTCAGCCTCTAACTTAGATTTGTCTCATTAGCTTTTATAACTTAAATTAATTCATTTCTATACACCGATGTGTTGCCATGTGACTAACAGCTTTTACTTTTCTTCCTGCACATCCATCTGCTCCCTCTGTCTCCATTGATGTCTCCTCCTTTCTTCTTCTCAGAGCTCTCTGTCCCCAGAAGTCCAACCCAACCTATTTCTGCTCACCTAATTGCCATAGGCTCTTTATTAAACCAATCACAGTGACACATATTCACAGACTGTAAAGGAATAATCCACAATAGAGGAATGAGAGAGATGAGATGGAAAAGAAGGGAAAAAGAGAAGGGGAGATAGACAAATGAGAGAGAAGAAAGAGAAAATGAGAGACAGAGAAAATACAGGGAGAGTAAGAGAGAAAAGAGGGATGAGAGATGAAGTCAAGAAAGAGAAGAAAGGGGTAAGGAAGAAGAGAAAGGAAAGTGATGAGACAATAAGACCAGACAGATGGAAGAGAGTAAAAGGGGAAAGAGAGAGAGAGACAGAGAGACAGAGAGACAGAGGGAAATAGACAGAGACAGAGAGAGGAAAGACCAATGAGAGGTGAGGGATCATGTTGAGAGAGTATAGAGAAAAACGTGAGGCAGAGGGGGAGAAAGTGGAGAGGAGAGAGTCACCAGGGAGAGCGACAGATGAGAGAAAGGATAGAAAGTTATGAGAGAAATGAAGAGAAGTGAGAGAGAGGAGAGAAGAGTGTGGGAGAGATGGAGAGAAAGAGGTAATAGAGGTGAGGGTGGAGAGAGGGAAGACAATGGAAGGAGAGAGAGAGAGCAAAGACATAGAGGACAGAGGGTAGAGAGAGAAGAGAAAGACAGGGAGAGAGGCACTTCCAGCATTCTAAACTGTAGGAGCCTAGAATCTGGGTACAGAATTCTGTGTAGGCGTACAGGAAGTCAATGTTCAGCTTCTAGGGACTGGCAGTTTGTCTTAAGTAAAACAAAGTGCAAGGCAGGTTGAGTGTATAGTTAAAACCAAGTATGGCTAAGATAACAATTAAATGATGGAGAATTGAGTTGTTGCAACAGTGGAAAACACAGTTAACATTTCCCCAATCTCAGAAACAAACTATAAAGTAGGAAATGCTTCTAAGGAAATAGTAAAAGATATTATCAAGAATGGCCACAGACTATTCAAGTTGTACATAAGCAGGGTACAGCAGCTCTTAGTCTTTCAAAGTTATGAATACTCCTAACTTTAAAATGGTTAGCTGACAAACCTGTGAAGGTGAAACAATGGCATTTGACATCAGAAAAATTACAGACACTAGAACAGCTGGTACAAGAGCAGTTAAATGATCAACATACTGAAGAATTGACCAGTCCTTGAAATTTTCCTACATTTGTTATAAAAATAGCAGAAAAATGGAGAATGTTTACATATTTAAGAGCCAAAACTAAGGTGGTTCAGCCAATGGGCTAGAATTCCCTTGCATTCTTTATTATCTAAGGGATGGTCTATTATAATGATTTATTTAAAAGATTGCTTCCTTTTTTTACTATAACTATACAAGAACAGGACAGAAGAAAGTTTGCCTTCACAGTTGCTACTTATAATAAATTCCCAGCCTGTTAAAAGATGCCATTAGAATATTCTTCCACAAGGAATGTTAAATAGCCCCACCTTTTGTCAATATTTTATACAACACCAACATCCATTATAATTAATTTGTAAGCCAGGCGGTGGTGGTGCACGCCTTTAATCCCAGCACTCGGGAGGCAGAAGCAGGCCAATCTCTGTGAACTCGAGGCCAGCCTGGTCTACAAGAGCTAGTTCCAGGACAGCTAGAACACAGAGAAACCCTGTCTCGAAAAACGATAATAATAATAACAACAACGAAAATTGTAAACAGTTCCCTGAATCTATAATTTACCATTATATGGATGATATCTTACTGGCTGATCCAGACTCAGATACATTAGAAAAAATATTTGAAGAGGTAAAGAAAAATTTACCTTGCTAGCGATTACAAATTGTTCCTGAAAAAAAAAAAAGCACAGAGGAGAGTCTGTTAATTATTTAGGATATAAGATAGGTTTTCAGAAAAATCAACAATCAAAAGTACAAATCAAGAGCTCAATTATGAACTCTTAATGATTTTCAAAAATTTCTGGGAGATAGTAACTTGCTATGTCCTACAATTGGAGTAACAACTCAAGAACTAAGTAATTTATTTCAAACCTTACAAAAGGATGTAAATAGTCAAAGAAAATTATCAGCTGGGTCTGAGAGAGAATTGGCTCTGCAGTGCAGAAATTAAAGGATGCACATGTGGTTCACTTAGATCCAAAGCTTGATTGTATTTTAGTTATTTATTTATTGCTTGATTGTATTTTAGTTATTTTGCCATATACTCATTCTCCCACAGGAATTCTTATACAGAGAGAAGGTAATATCCTAGAATGAATATTTTGCCACACAAACAGGCTGCTGTTTTTTCTTATTGACCATGTCCTTTGCTTTACAGAAGCTTTTCAGTTTCAGGAGGTCCCATTTATTAATTTTTGCTCTCAGTGTCTGTGCTACTGGGGTTATATTTAGGAAGTGGTCTTCTGTGCCAAAGTGTTCAAGTGTACTTCCCACTTTCTCTTCTGTGAGGTTCAGTGT